CTCTGTTTAAACGCCTTGAGCGCACTCTTCATGTTAGGCTTTGTCTCTCCGTCAATCAAGGCATGCTGGACAAACGCTCCGCTGCCAAATTTATCTGTCACCATGAAACTAAACAGCCGATACTTACATCAAATTCATTGCTAGTAATTGGTGAATATGAAGCCAATTCCTACGCAATTGGTGACATCACCTAACGTGTCGGTAAACATGTCACCAATTTGTTAACTGGTGTTCACATCGTACCTGTAAATGTTTGTGCCGTGTGTAGCATCTATACAAAGTGCTCCTGGGAATCTGCGAGCCATCCTTTTCATATGTGCTGTTTGAAGGTTATGCAGCTCGTCTAATTTCGGAACCTGGATCGCGATAGATACTGACAGCCGTTCCTGGGCCTTCACTGAAATCTTGCAACAACTGTGAAACACAAACATTGTCATCCTGCGAGGTGTCTGTTTCGCGTCGCATCTGAGCAATCATGTTTTCGACGTCCTTCGGCTGGGTCGGTTTTCCGGATGCTTCTTTTGAATAGCGCAGAATCTTTTTGCGGTTGGACCCACCTATATGACATCATGTTAGTAAATGACCAGCTATATATTGCACTGCTGTTTAACTTACCTTGTCACATTGAATTAGCAACAATCTTTGTGTCAGATGAGTCCACCTTGCGAGTCTCAGCGTACGTGAAATACTCTTCAGGACCAACGCTATGGTTGTGGACCGACGTGTGCTTTGAAACACATACCGTATACACTCCGTCTTCGTCTTGTTTCAGGAGCGCGTTCAGACTCGCCTTACACCCAATCCCTCGAGTGGTTTGTTCTGATGCCTTTTCGACGGGGTTAAATTGCCAACCGTGACTGCAGATTAGAGCTCGCAACGGGTGCCCGAAAGCTGGGTACCCGTGGTTTTAGCCATACCACCCGCACTTCGGGTGGGTTCGGGTACCCGAAATCTGGCAAACAGCGCTATGGATGGGTGATGGTTACCCTAAGCGTTTTGTCGATCACAATTACCAGTATACATAAAATAGCTCACATTTGCTGTAGGCAAGTTTTACTCGTTTAACCCCTTGGACGCGGAGCCTTGCAATAATGTCTTATGCTGTTCTGAACAGCATAAGAAACACTTGATTTCATTATGGGTTGAAATCCGCAAACTGCCATCGTCGACACTTCCCAAATTTAAAAGGTTTTGATTGGTCCACGTTTTGAAAGCAACGAATTCTATTGGATAACATTTACAGCCGGATTGAAGTACCGAAGTACCGCAGGTAAGAGCCGGACTATATATTTTTTCCAAAATATCAAATTTCGGTTCCCCTTTCGTGGTCACCACTCATTCTTCATTCCGAGCCCCATACAGCAAATTGAGTACGTTGTGGATTTCAAAGTTGTGTGGCCGCTACTGCGCAAGGAAGGGTGGACATGAAAACCAGCAAAAGGGTTACAGATACAGTAAGTGTTATGATATTGATGCGGTTATCCCTACTAACTTTGATTATATATTGCTGTAGCTCGAACTATTTGAAGCCTGGCTGCAAGATTCGGGGCGGCAAGCAGGGAGTGGACTTCTTCAACGGCGAAGATGCGTTGCTTGCGCACGTAAAGGCGGACAAGGACCTGTGCGTCCGCCTCAATCTCACCAACATCATGGTGCGTCCCAATGCAGTTCCACTCGGTAAGCGTATGCGCACTTTAAACATGTTTCGTGCTTTATGATGACGTTTTGTGTGTTTTTGGTGCAGAGCCTTTACCATACTCGGTCTCAAGTACACCAAAGACCTCAGCCAAGAGAGCAGATACTACAAGCAGGGAACAGCCACCGAAGAAACGTTCAAAGACGGTGGGGCCTTGTAATTCTGCAGACAAGAAGAGTGAAAAACGGCAAACGCCCAATAAGATGAAGAAGACGAAAAAGCAAGAAGCAGAAGAAGCAATCCAGACAAATCGAAAGGGTTGGTGCAAAGCCGTAGAGTATCCATTCAAGAAACGACCAGCCACGTGCAAGCGAGGCTCTTTCAGGATGGCCGTAGCGACGAGTATTCCGGGGCTTGCTGCTGTCGGCTGGGTATACAACCGTTCGGTGTATTTCCTGTCGTCTCAAGTTACCGCGGCATCGACAACGGTGCAACGGAGGGAGAAGAATGGAGCGGTGTCAACGGTGCCATGTCCAGGTTTGGTTGGTGAATATCAACGCCACATGGGCGGCGTTGATCGCCACGACCAGTTGCGACTCCAGTCATACTCTATGCAGTTGGCGACAAGGTAAGTGATGTGCTGTTCATGTCAGCTTATGAAAAACATATAATGCTGTACCGAACAACAGATTCCAGAAATACTACAAAAGCCTGTTTCTTGGAGTGGTCGACATGGCGGTGGTGAACGCCTACATTGTACACGCTCACGTCTGGGAGAAGGAACGCAAGAAGAAGATGTCACACTACTCTTTCTTGACAACTCTACACAGACAGCTCATTCAGGAGACGGAGTCATCCTTTACGGAGGCAGGGATTTCGACTGAGCCTACGGCTGTAGTGCGTGAAAAACCTATCGCTATCCAAGGTGACCATTCCCTCGTCCAAACTACTGACACCCGTCTAAACAACGGTGTCCATCGTCTGCGCCAA